GAAAAGTGTTGAGAAGGGAAACATGCATTCGAAAAAAAACTCCTTGGTACAACAAAAATTATATTTATATATACATCAGGGAAAGGATACTGGTTTTTTTAGGATCGACTGTTGAAAAGCACTGAACACTGAATATATTAATGCTGAGATAGAACTTTGTTATAAACCTTGCATAATGGACAGTTACGTACATATTTAAATCAACAAATATGTTTTGTTTAATGATTATGAAAAGAATAATAGTTATTTGATGGAGAATTAACAAGGAGTGTTTTGTGGGTGATTAAATTTTGGTTTTGTTAGGTGGCTGGGTGAGCAAGACGAGAGAGTTAACAAGAAACTATTTGTTGTACTTTAAGCAAGCTTAAAGACTGAGGTTAAACTCTATTTTAACTCTTGTGTTTTACTGTGGGCTAATTTAGATTTCTTCTTCCTGAGTTATTCCTTGATTGCATCTCGTTTTTGGACAGGAATTATTTTGCAAAGACAAATGAGAAGAAGAAGAAGCAAGACTGAAAAATAAAGTCAACAGAAGAAGTTCTGTTTTGTGCTCTAGAAATTTCTGAGACTATAACGTTACTGCATTATAATAGTGAATATATTCGTATTAATATTTATAGTTCGCTGTTGGTTATTATGGTTTTTGGTTTTTTTTTTTTTTTTTAAGCAGGAATTGGTTAGATGGCCGTCTTAGTTTGCAGGTTTAGTGAGAAAATTTTTCGCTTACATGTATTCGTAATCATTGATTCTTAAAATGGTCCTATACTGTCTAATATATATTTTTTCCTTTGAGTATAGTCACTGTTGATGTATTTGTCGACTGCTTGTTATATTACTGGAGTAAAGAATCGTTGAAGATGAGAAATATTTTTATTAGCGAAAGTTGTGCAAACCATCTGCTTTTTTTTTTTTTTTTTTGAAGAATATCATTGAATATCATTTATCGACGCTTGAACAATCTATTTGTGTAAACCTTAAAGAATAAAATTATTCATTTAGTTGGAAATATAGTTATTAATATTAATATTTTTGAAATTTTCGCGAGAAATAGTATATGTACTAGTAGATGTTGCAATGTATGAGAACGAGTAAATGTGTGGCTTTGTTGACAGTAGACGGTCCGCAACAGTATTTACATCATTCATAGGATTGAGATAAATACGTATTTTTATCGTTTCACTCACTGTATACTTAAAGCTAAATAAGCTATTTCACAAGATTTCGCTTTCTTCGTAACATATTTGGAGGAAATATGATTAGGGGAAAAAAATTTCTATATATCAGGAACGTATTATTCATCGGTTTTTTTCTGCAAAACTTTTGGTGAATTAATTTTTTTTTACAGGTTATCGGAGAGTAACATCGTGCTGAAATTTGGCTTCGTTGTTGTTGTTGTTCTTGTTGTTGTTGTTGTTGTTTTGTTGCTGGTTTTTCTATTGTTTTTTCGTTTTTGTTTGTATTCGACTGACGACGACTATAATTGGACGTTGGAGCATTTTAAAAGCCATTACGTTTAATCGTTTTCTGTGGTCGGAAATTTCAAATACAAAACGGAAAGTGATATTAAACTTACCACTGTAATAGTCTCTCATTTGATCTGTGGGACCAGCTAATTGAGATTTGCTTATTAAAGGTAAGAGCTATTGACTATTAAACATTGATTATGAATTGGGGATCGTTGTAAAAATTAAATTAGCATTTAATTTTCTTTATCGAAAGGTTTCCTGCGTTAAAAACAGGTAAGAATGATTGTTGATTTGGGGTAGTTATTATGAGATTTTGATGTTTGAAGTTGTTTAGCTTATTTAATTACAAATCGTTTGTGACAGAAAAGATGCATATTTATTTCAGATTAAGCATTTCTTCAACGTAGCTTAAGTTCTCTGACAGTTCCATATTCTATGGATAGAAAGAGAAAACGGCTTTTGTCTAGTAATGCTGAAGAGAAGCGCACCAAATTTGACGAATCAGAGAGTGGCGAACCACTTGAAGTGCGTTTACGCAGTAATCACGCAGAAGTAGTGCTTACTGCGTTAAATTATTGCAAGCAGGTGAAGTATTCACTGACTGTTAATTTTTTGGTACTAGAAAGATCTCCAAAATTCTTAAGGTTTTTATATTTTATATTGTTAGTTTAGGGACTTTCATCAAAAACGACAGTTGAAAAATTTGTCAATTCCGTCACCGATAGATTTCTTGCGGTTGTAGATGCATTCAAAAGAGCAGCCTTGTCTGAAGTTGCAAGCAGGTATCTTCTAAACCTTTTTTTTAATGGTTAGTCGAAATCAAGAGGTAGAAGCAAACAATTTTATGGGAAACTTCACTGTCGTTCGGTGTTGCTCTGAAGTTTTCTTCTTGGATTCCTAGGTATGACGATGGGGCGGTAGAAGCTTCTTTCTTCTGTAGAATTGGGTGTAATACGTTTACATCGATAACTACTTTTGGGAGTCATTTGTATGATTCATACCGTTATAGATTGAAATTTTCAGTTCTCCATGGTCAGCCGTGCTAAAAAAAGCTGCTAGTATTCTTGCTACCTGCTGTTATTTTTCTTTCACGGCGTGTGCAGAGGTATTTGCTGAATTTTTCATGTCATTATATTCAGCTTGCAAACTCAAATCATAGATCTCTCGTAATTGATAGGTTTCAAGTTATTCTTCATAATATTTTTTAGTCCACAAAACCAGTTGTAGTTTACGTAGCTCAACATTAATGACCGTATCAGTTTCAGCTAGCAAAACCGAGGAGGAATATTCCGCAAACACTAGGTTTGTTTTTTTAATTTAACGCTTTATTAATTCGGAAGAACTCTTTATTTTTGGTTGAATGGTAGTTCTTAAGTAAGAACTGTTTTTCGGTCTTCATTTTAGTAGTCTTGCTACAACGTAAAATTTATAAGACGTAACGCCACATTTGTGTTACGCCAATGGATTGTGTTATTTTGCAAAAAAATTCAGGTAGATTATTAGAGATGAGCGAAGCTCGAGTCCCTTTATCTACGAAGTCGTCAATTTTGCGCCTTATTAAAAACCTCTGTCAGCATAAAGAAGTAGCAGCGTCAATGACCTATTATACGCTAGATTCTATCGTGCAGTACCTCACTAGCGATGACAGAAATATTGGATACAGTGCACTGGGGATCATTCGCGCACTAGTCAACCTTAATTTGGCTTCAGTAAGTTAGATGCGTTCCGCATTTTCTTCAAACCCAATTAGGACCTTCGGTTAAAGTGAAAGTTTTTTCAAGATTGCTTTAGAGATTCTGTCTATAAGGATTTTTTTGAAATTTTTAGAAAAAAATTTCTAAGACTATCTCTAATTAAACATGGAAATTCTCAGCAGTTCATGTGGGAATGTTTTGTAGTCTCTGCTGAAACTACACATATCATTGGCCTTCAAGAGGAAGGGTTGCTGCTTGCTTGCTCCTTCTGATTGAATGTTTTTGAAATAGTGTGCTTGTTTAAGCATTTGTTTATGCAACAAGAACCGTAACACATGGTTAAGATATTAGCAAACAATATGATCAGGATTGATTACAACAAAACAGTGCACCAAACAAAAAAAAAAAATTAAATCTCAGTTTTTAAAGAATAAACCTCCAAAAACCCGAACAGTGAAATAGCCACGAAAAAAAAAGTAAATTCGAAGAACTTAGTTGAAAACTCCCCAATTGGTTTAAAAAACCTTAAAATAAAAGTAGCTTCTAGACATTCGGCTGTAATAATTGTATAAAATAACATAAACACGCCAGAGCAAATTAACATTTAAAATGTTATGAGGTGGAAATCAGCTCTGTGTGTCTAGTGTTATTTTAGCTGTTTCTTCACCTGTTGTCTTAGCAGTTCACTGTTTTCTTGGTTGGAAAACGATATGGTTTGTAGCATGAGGAACATTCGGGTTTGGATGCTGCGGTTGGGGTTTCACATGATATGCCCGAACTGCCTCTGGCGGATAGTCCTTATTCGTCTGAAAGAAATTTTTTTGAACTGTTCGCAGTATTTTACGAAAAAAACAATTTTAATGCTAACCACAGTTCTCTCACTGTTTAAAAGGACGCGAAAGTTACCTGTGCTGCTAATCCAGAGTTCGCCAGAACGTTGCGAGCTTCAACTACCTCTTGACTATCGCCTTCTTCACTGGATGGTTTCTCGCCGTTACCGTTTCCTTTTTCCGATTCAGAGGGGTTTTTGGTTTTTCTTGCAATTCGGACACCACCAGCAATTTTCTCAGCTGGTGCGTGACCACCTTTCATTAATTGCTCTTCCTCTGTCATGGTAGGCTAGAACAGGATCACTTGGCATAACTGGCAATAGGAAGTTAGAAATGCCGACGCAGCAGTTCACATTACTCCGATAAATTAATTTGCAAATTTTATTTCATCAAAAGGTAATGAAAAAAGACTATTAAATGGACATTTTAAGGCTTAATTAACTATAAATTGATCTTAGTAATGAAGATTTTGTAGAAGCGAAACGAGAGGGAACAGGTAGATGATGATGGCCTAAAAATGAATGATAAAAGTGAGAAAGCCACTGAATCTACATGTAGTCGAAACAGCATTACATATGAGAAAAAAAGAGTGCTGACAGTTTAAATATAGTTGAGCAAATGGTACACATTTCAGTGGATTGCACAACAACGATCGACAATTTTTTTTTTTGTTGTAGTCAGTTGCTTACTGTTGGAAAGGAGGAGGAAAAATTTGTTTTAATCCTTAAAGGAAAAGGTGGTGTAGTGTTTTAAAAAAATTGGCAAAAACTATCAAAAATTTGGTGTGGGTGGTCATCTGTTATCAACCTACAAAGCCATACCAGCAAACTGAAAAAAGCAGTAAGATACCTAAAATATAGGTTTTTTATAATTTTGATTTTTGTACTTTGAACTGTTCATTGTGTTTTGAGGGGATAGGTAGTAGAAGTAGTAATAAAAGTTAGGAAAAAGAAAAAACAAAGAATGGCATTTGCAGTTTTAACGTAGTGACAGCGAAACCTGTCTGCGGGCTGATGACGACAACAAAAGTAGCAACAACACGAATAAGGATGACGATGGGAACAGAAAGACACCTGAAGAATCTAAAAAAGAATGGGAAGGGAAGCGCCAAATGGTGGCAGCAAACCGTTGTATTCTGTCTTTGGGTGTCTGCATGTCTGTATGCCTGTGCCGTGAACCCAAACGCGACGGCACTTTTTACGGCATGTGAGTAGGGGGGAAGAGGGGACGATCACCATTTTGCGGTGCATAGCTTAGGCATTTTGCCCACTCAATTTACCGTTGTTAGAAACCCTTCAGTAGTATATCGTATTAAAACTGCAGCAGTCCAAATATTTTCTTTGAAATTGATGCTCATTAATTCATTCAAATAAAAGCCTTTTTTTTATTTTTTGAACTTTCTGATAATAAGGAATAAAAACAGTTTTTGCTGGATGGCTTCAATAGAAGTTTTAGAAAAAGAAATTTCTTTTTAGTGTTTCATCAGTTATTGTTCGGTTAATCAACAGAAATTTGTCAATTATCGCCTATAAAAATTCTAAAGTTTCTTATCTTATTTCGCATTGACTCTTTGTTTTCATTGTGAACGGATTCTAAGCCACAGCGGATTCTAAGCCACTCTACAGCAACTTCTAGCTAAATGTTCTCTATTTATTGTTTTTTAAACTATGTGTCAAAATGATTTAAGGCAACTGCTGGTATGACAGGTGGAAGATGGCATTGCAGTAAAGTGGACAAAGTTGTATATTAAAAAACCATGACGAATTGCTCAAAATCATACATTGTGATGAACTGAGTTGAGTTGTAAATTAAGTTGTACCGGTGAAGTTCCGGTCCACTGTAGTTGAGCCTCAGATATTAAATTTTATCAAATTATGCGCCTTAAGGGCGGGATATTAGCGTTGCGAAGACAAAATTTACTTTTTTATAACTCTCTGTCAGTATATAAAAAATGTTTTTGTCTGAATGGTTTGATGTGTGAAATTTATTTTTTTTTTGTAGCGAGTAATTGCTGCTAATGGATGTAAATACATTGGAGACCTTTTGGCAAGAGAGGAAAGGTTGCCTTCAAACCAATCTTGGTCTGCACAGCTCTTCGATGTTCTTAAACGGCTGAGTCCAAATTCAGCGTCTGCAGCTAAAACTATTGGCCGCCAGCTGGCAATGAGGTATAGTTTACATTCAAGTTCTATTCGTTCCGATGTTTTCACTGTCTTTCATTTTTAAATTTTTTTATTTCCAGCGAAGGTGGAGAAGCTTTACTGTTTACTTTTTTGCGAGAAGATTGCGATGAAGAGTTTCGAGATATGGTTGTGAAAATCTGTACACATTCTTCGCATATCAGAGAATACTTCTGTGATCATGGCATTTTAGAGAAGATAATAGGCATGGATGAGCCGGCCATATCAATGATAAGTATACTCTGTGCTTATACGAAGGCAAGTTACTTTCGTTGGCATTATCCGTTTGTTCTGCGTAATATACCTTTACGGGTTTGGCTTTAAAGGTGTATGCTTTTTAGTGATCGCAAATGATAATTGCGATTTTGTTGCGCTATTGAACAATCGTGAACTTGTGAAGGTTACTTTATACAAGAATTTTCATTTAATTTGAGACTTTCTTTAGTATTATAATTTGAGATTTTTCGGTTGATTTTCAGGAAGCGTGGAGTCGTGAAAGGTTGCTGAATGTCGGTGCCCTTGATGTAATGCTCAGCCGTTTTTGCGAATCAGTACAGATAGCAGAAAGATTTATGATTATTTCCTCATTAGTGTAAGTTTTTAATTGGACGTAAATAAATAAGGATGCTATTAAAAAAATCTTCAATTTTAACTTGAATTTTTTTGACCTCAAACTTTTTTCATGCTTTTGCTTCAAACATATTTCCTCAGGGGTAAAGTCTCAATTTCTGTCAGTCATCTTCAGCTCTCAGTTCCTTTATCTTACAGTTCAATGGCATTTAAGATTTATGTTTTGAATAAATTTCCAACTTTTTCCTGAAAGTGTAACGTTTACCTGAAGGCCTGTTATTTTTTTTCTGCCTTTTTTTTTCATTTTATTTGAGCAGCAATTTTAAGTTTCGTTTTAGGCACTTTTTCCACTACGTTAGTGGCCTTGCACATATTTTCCGAAATACTGCTTTCTTGAAGGCAATCATATCCGACATTCTTAATTATCTCGGTGAACCTCAGCCAGAATGCAAGGTGAGACTTATAAAAATTGCATGCCAATTCTGTTTGTTTTGCATAACAAATTTTTAGCATAAGTACGACCAAAGTAATCTCCTACCATGCTCCGCGGCAGCAATGGATCAGCGCGCTTCTTCGACATTACGCAGCTACTCTAGTTTAAATAAAGATAAGGTAAGATCAGCTTTTAATTCTTAAGTTTATGAAAGCTATTGTTATTTTACTGTAAATGAAACTTACTTTTTTACTGCAGATCAGTAGTGGCTTTTATGGGAAATCAGTTATGGGATGTACGAAACAAGTTGAGGCTGGAGCTAATTATGGCGGCAGTCGCAGTCCTGTAATTTCTTGGAGTCGTTCAGTTTCACCCCCATCTAATTCTTTGGGGTCCTGGTGTAGTCCTGTTTCTCCACTCTCAGCAGGCTCTATGTCTCCACCATCTATAATAAGCCCTTCGAGGTATAGCATTTCTTGTTGCAATACGGTCTTTTAAAATTTTTTATATCTGCACTTCTTTATGTTTCTTTGTTTTCTACAGATAGAAGTTTCTTTGGTCTTGCTTACTAAGTGGCATATCCTGCGCTAATATTAAAGCCCCCTTTTTTAGTTCTGTAGAGGACTTCCTTTCACTTTTAATCGAAGATACTGAGTGTTCGTGGGATTTGGAGAAAATGGATGTTGAAGAAGACAAAAAAGAGGACTCTGAAGCTGAAAGTGAAGAAAGATCGACATTGCGTAAGGTGAATTAATTACCAGTAATTTCTGGTACTTTGTTCTATATTCTTTTCTGTTGCATCTTATATTTTATTTTACAGATAGTTTGTGCCGAATTGCAACTGCTGTCATACCCGACAAGTGAAAATAATATTCTCGGGGTCCTTATTAGGGAAGATGTTAGTGGGTTTTGTTTCTTAGTAGTCTATCATGAGTGTAATTTTTCTAAGTATATGTTTCTGTAGGAAGCAGTAGATTCCGTTTTTTTTAAAATAATGGTTTAAGATAGTAGATTCCCTTCTTCGTTGTTGTTCCGATGTGACTTTGCCTAATTCGTATTCCGTCAAAATCTTATCACGAATGGTAGAGTATAGAACGATGATGGATAAACTGTTGGCCATGCAATTCCATTCTAGGATATTTGATGCTCTGATGACAAAGAAGTGGGATATGGAAGGGTATCGTTTTCGAGCTTTTTGGAGTAGTGGTTAAAATTATTTGATTTATTTTTGTTATCCTTTTGTTTTTAATTCATGTCTTAAAATAGTTTTCAGCCACGAGCGTGCTTTGACCAGTCATTGTACGTTTTGTACGACTTTGGGTTATTTGCTTCTAAAGGAGTTTTCGAGTCATGTGGATTCAAATTTTGGTTTACCGATCTTAGTAGATTTATTGAAGTCAAAGGATTTCGGGGAAAGAATAAAAGCGAGCATCGCTGCGTTGTATCTTGTTAGGTAAGATAGTGGGTTTAAGAAAAATTCTGTTTTTCGGTCTTTCCAGCGCTATTTGTGCGCTCTTTTTTCCGTTGCAGGTTATAGACGTCAAAGTAAGTATCTAGTTTACTTCAGTGCTTTTAGGAGCCAAGCGGGTCAGATGAGAATTTATTCTAAGTTTGATCCAGTTACTCTGTTGATTGGAGCTGTTCGAGATGTCTGTGTCGGGGCGCATTGTGAAGAAAGATGCTCTCCCTTAGCTTATACTAATGGGGTTTGTTTTTGGCTTTTTCCTTCGTTATGGTCTTGTGTTATTAACTTAGTTATTACGAGGAATTTATTTGATGCTTCTTTAATTTTAGCCTTCTCTGTTGTACCAGATATTGTGTAGTTTGTCTGCTATAATCGACTGTGAAAGGATCTGCCCTTTGTACCGGTTTAAAAATGAGGCTTATAATTTTATCATGGTTGGTGGTGATTGCATTGTCGAGGAAGAGAACTGTTCTGGATCTGGGGAATGTGTGGTTTTTAAGACGGAATCTGGTGATGATCTTGAGCGAATCAACAAAGAAAAGCTAATCAGCGGCAGCGATTATTTTAAGGTAGTCTTTTAATGTACTGGTCCTGAAATTTGTGACATGTTTTTAAATAGCAAGAAGAGCCGAGATAAATGCGTGTCGTTTTACTTCACAATTTCTTCCAGGGAATGTTTGGTAGCGAATTTCTTGAAAAAACAACTGGTTG